CACAAGCTGCTAAACACATCCGAAGCTCGCGGTACGCATGTTTTTACCATGCGAGAGTTGATGAGCACTTACCCAGAATGTCAGATTGCCGCATAAGTGCTTCATCGCTATTCAACGGAGCTCTTCCTTATGCCGACAGGAGGATGTGGCTGCTTTTCTTTGCTGCGCTTTTGTTCTTGCATGCAACTCAAACACACGCTCATACGCGCGCACACAGACGAAACACACTGCATCGACGGACAGCGGATAATCTGTTATTAGTTGTGTGGCCGGTTCCTAACTCTCCTCCCCCGGGGAGCGCGTTGTGACGTCCGAAACTGTACTCTCTTACCCCCTTGGCTTGGTTTGGTTCAGAGTAGACAGTCACTCTGAGGTTGTCATGGCACGAGAGCCCCGCCCACTTTGTGCGTAGATCTGTGAGGCGTATCCATATTTGTTAGCATTTATTTTATTTTTTTCAGCAAGTCATCCACAAAATGAGTTTTTCCTCCTAGTTACCGAACATGTTGGGAGTTTCGTCCCCAAAATATTTTTGGACAACGTTCCCTTTAAGATATTATCATGGGATCATTATGGGAACGGTTACTTTGCTTTCTGAAACTAGCAAATATAAACGTTTGCAAAAAGTTCGACCAACTGTTTCAGAGAAGCGTTGCATGAATAATGTATAAATATGCTAATGCTTTGTGCTAAGGTTTAGGAACGTTCTGTTAACGTTCCTGGAAGAGTTTGTTATTGAGAGAATCTTGCAAGACGTTAGACAAAGTTCTGAGAACGTTCTATGTCCAGCTATCTAGTAAAATAAATAATAAATCAAAATAAAATAAATAAGCTTTTATAACAGTAGCTTAACATTTTAAATGCTTAAATAAAATAAAAACTAACAATTTCCTTAAAGGCATCCATAATAATAGTCTTCCCTCCTGTTTACTTGGCAATTTTGTCCCTAGAAGATTCCCAGCTAGCAAAAATATGTGCTAAGAACGTTTTACTAGCATTCCCGATAAGTTCCCTTACCAAAAAGTAGTATACTTCAAGTTTATTTTATTAAGTATACTTCAGTAAAGTTCAAGTATATTTTAAGTATACTTTATGTAGCAAGTATACAAATATCAGTGTACTAGTAGTATACTTGTAAGTGTACTATTTCAATACTCCTTGGGACTAAATTGGCCCACTTTCTAGTATATAAAAGTATACTTTTAAGTATACTTTAAGTATAACAGTAGTAAACTTTAAGTACACAACTAGTTTACAACAATATTTTTAGCTTGTACTGCAACTATACTAAAAGTGAACTTATATGAATACTGATAGTTTTCTAATTAAATACTTGTAGTAGCATTTTTAGTACACTTTGAAGTATAGTCTTAATAAACTACTAGTTTAGTAGTTTTATACTACTCGTAAGTTTTCTTTAAGTGAACTTTACATCATACTTTAAGTATACTACTATGTCCCTATTTAGGTATTAATTTGTATATATTTTGTTATATAAATATATGAATATCTGCACATACAAAACACCAAAAGAAAGAACAGGGTATCTGCTTGTAAACAAAAACATTTTATTCTAGCTTCATGCATTCTTTTTTTAAACACTTGAATGTAGGTAAGTTTCATAAATAATAAAATAAACAAAAAACATTTTGAACAAAAAGCTGAAAAAAAGACTTTATGAATTGTGAATTGGATTCAGAACGATAATCAAAACGTAGATAGAGTCGATCAACACCCCAAAGCTTGACAGTCATTAGTACCTCTTCATTGGTCGACATTACATCAACGTTACACAGTTTTGATGCTGTTTTATGTCTGATGATCGTGTTAGAATACATGTGGAAGCATCTGTTGTTTCGGTTTCTTCTTCACTTGTGTTTTTTGGAAATTCTGTACAGAAGATGTGTACTAGCGCACCCTACAGTATAACAATGAAAACACGGATTCTAGGAACACAAGTATAGCTCAAATATATTTAGACTTCTTCTAAGTAGGCTATACGTCAAGTATACTTAAATGTCATTTTAAGTATATTTCTGAGAAGTACATAAAAAGTAGACTACAAGTATACTTTCCTATTTTTTAGTTTAAAAGAAGTATACTAATAGCACACTTGAATAAACTTCTTTTTCGTAAGGGTTATACAAACATTATTTCCAATTTTCTTCAAATCTTTAAGTGTTTTGTTTTTTTAAATGTTGTTCATGTGAATGTTACTGATAACATTAAGGGAACATTCTATTTTATCATTTTGCAAACATCATGTGAAGTTACTTTTAAATGTTCTCTAAACCATTTGAAACTATGAAGTATTAATGTTTACAAAACGATGAACCAACGATGTATCGATATAGTGCTCATGTGAGTGTTAATAACTGTTAAAATAACTTTTAACAAACGTTCTTTTAATGTTACTGGAAGAATGTTTGTTCATAACTTTGAGAGAACTGGGATGCTTCAGTAGGTCAGAAACAAACACATGTCCATTTGTCTTTGTTGGTAGAGACTTTTCCTCTATTTTATTATTTTTATAGTGAGAAATTATATCATGACTATCCTCTACCTCTAAACCTAAACATTTGCCTGTTTAGAGTTTCATTTGGATTTTATTACGGATGTTTATTAAGCAGTTTTTCGTGTATAGCCATTGAACAGTTCCTCTCATTGTGGGTGATTTTGGATTTTGCGTTGCTTGCATACATTGCAGGTGAAACCACACACGTTTGCATTATTATGCCCCACAGGAAGATAATAGTACTTACTAGACATTAATTTGCATTTATGCAAATTGTCTTCAGGCACATACATAGCATCCCATTCATATAGGATCTTTGCATTCATGAATCTGTCACTGCTGAACAGCATTTAGGTAAAGGCCTGCGTATATGTGTTATAAAGGCCTGTAGTTCTTAATGAAAACAAGTGTTTACAGTAGAGCAGTCAATAAACAACAGAACTCATGAAAAAAGTTCAAGCTGGTGAGCCAGTAGAGAGTGTAACCGAAGTATTGATCCTGATGAAGGAGATCTCATTACATGCATTAATTGTTCCTTAATGCCAAAAACATGCTTTTTGCTCTTGTATGTCTTTAGCTCAATTTAATTAAGTGATGGACAGTCAGGATCATTGCTGAAACATTAGACATTTTGTCTGCTCTGGAGTGATGTAGACCCTCTGAGTTGAGGACAGTGCTTATTATGCTGCTCTGAAACCTATAACATCAAGCACACTACAGCAAACGCTAAAGCATTTGTTTCAAGGGCAAATGCTGCACAATCTAGTGAGACTGTTAGTTTACTGTGACTCAGCACAGATGTAAAAAAAAGATGTTTAACATATTCTTTGTTTCATGTTTAAAAACCGATGTACTTTCGCTTTTTGGGTGTTGAGCGCCCTCTAACGGTGTAATAAAGAACTGCAGCAGCTGCTTGATTATCTGTGATTATACTGAACAGGTGACTTTTTAACCTAAATAGCGTTAGAAAATATCTAGAAGGTAAAGAGAATGGTAACTATGCTTCTATGGGTTTTTCATAGCTTCCATATGTTTGTTAGACAATACAGCAATGCACAATGTACAAATAGAATAGTTTTACAATGAAAATAATACAGATAAGAAATCCCATAATATTATGTAAGCATAGTTAAATAATAAAAAAAAAGTAAGGTGTGATATTGATCATGAGAGCCTAAAACGAAAGAATGCTTTAAGCTAGGGTTGTTTTTGAATCTCAGTATGTCCTGTATCTGTGTGTGTCCACTGACCACTAGATGGGACCCTTGTCCAGATTGAGCACTGTTCAAACACTCACAGTGAGGTTTGCTAGAAGACAGGAGTCACATTGACCCAGTTTAGGCAGTTTGCTGTGGTTGATAAAGGGTTACAGTTTGAGGTTTGGGGTCTGTGGTTGTTGGTTTTGTTGTAGGTAAGTTGCATAAAAAGGGTTTGAAATTAGACAGACGGACGGACGGACAGACGGATGGATGGGTGCATGGATGGATAGATGGATACATAGATGGGTGCATGGATGGATGGATGGATACATAGATGGGTGCCTAGATGGATGCATGGATGGATGGATGGATTGATGGATACATAGAGGGATGATGGATGGATGCGTGGATGGATGGAAACAGATGAATGGATGGACGGATGGATGGATGAATGGATGAATGATTGGGTGGATGGATAGATGGATTGATGGATGTATAGATGGATTCATGGATGCATGGACGAATACATAGATGGATGCATGGATGAATGGATGGAGGGATACATAGATGGATGGATGGATGGATGGATGGATGGATGGAGGGATACATGGATGCTTGGATGGATGGATACATAGATGGGTGCGTGGATGGATTAATGGATGGATGGAGGGATACATAGATGGATGCTTGGATGGATGGATGGATGGATGCTTAGATGGATCCATGGACACATGGATGGATACATAGATGGATTTAGGGATACATAAATGGATGCTTGGATGCGTGGATGGATGGAAACATGGATGGATGGATAGGCGGAATGGATACATTGATGGATGGAAGAATAGATGGATGTATGGATGGATGAATGGATGGATATTTGGATGGATGGAAGTGTTAAAATGATCAAATATGATAATGACAATATTATCAATTTCAGTTATACTGAGAATTCAATATTCTATCAATAGTCAATATTATATCAGTATTCAATATCCTATCAATATTCATGTTCACCGTGGATTTTAAATGGTATTGGTTGGTAGGTATGGTACTTTTTGTTATTATTGATTTGAGTTAAACCAATAAAAAACACTTTTTTCCGTCCTGAGGAACCTCCCTTCGGCGCATCAGCAGCACGTGCAGCTTGTCTCAATATCAGTAAGTTGTCTGTGTAGACAGCATTTGTGAGCATGACAGGCACGCGCAGCATTTTTAACAGAGCTGACTCGGGAGCGCGCCCATAATGCCCACAAGTGCTGCCCACGTAGACAGTTCCGCGCGTTTGAGACGCAGCGCTTTAGCGGCAGAAAGTTTCCTTCTGGATGTCATTCTGCGCGCAGCAATGATTTGAAGAGCTCACGTTGCTTGTTCTTAGGGAGTATGAGATGTGTGCTCATTCTAACGGACCCGTTATTTTGACGCCACGAGCTCTGGACAGCTTTGGGAATGATGATCGGTAACGAGCGGAGCCCACAGACATCCAAGCCGCCTCCTCCAGCCTCACCTGCGGCTTTACCGCTCAGCGCGTCCCGCAGAAGATTCTCCCGGGTCGGGAGGAAACACAGCAATGGATCCGTCCAGTGAGTTCACCTCTGGAGTCCCACTTACTGTACATATACAAAGTTCAGAAAGTAGCTACTAGTCATTCATAAGCAGTCCTTTTGATATTAGATTGATAGTTTACACGTTAGCCAAACAGATACAAACATACTGTCATAAGAGTGAATTGATTTTTAAGTCTTTTACAAACTTAAAGCAACATGTATTTTCTCTCTTTTATGTTATATTAAGTAAAATAAAAACTTATACATTTTTTATCCTACCTTAAATGCATTTTATGATTTTTGCATTGGTCTAAAGACTTTAAAACAAGACTTTCAATAATAAAAGTGTTGTTACTAAAGGCTACTCAGATAACAGAAAGTACGTTCTATGAACGTTTTGGTAACGTTAGCATTAAGTTGTGAAAATGTTTCTGAATGTTCTCTCGGTGTTCAAAATGCAGTTTGTTAAATGTCTTTAAGAAATGTTTTTTCTTTAGTTAGTAACGTTACTTTGAACGTCAGTTATAACTGTAGCCTAATGATATATATATATATATATATATATAAGCTTAATAAAAATTAATGATGTATAATGTTTTTGTGCTAACGTTTTGAGAACTTAAAGGACCAGATAATTTTGAACGAGATAGTTTTATTAACGTTACTGGAAGAACGTTGTCAAAAACGTTGAGAGAACCTTTCCAGAACGTTAGCCAGAGTTCTGAGAACGCTTGTTAGCTGGGTATGTTCTAAACCAAGTGTGAAATAAACATAGATTATTTAGATATTTATTGTGTGAAAACGATTTTTCACAGGCATAATTTCCACCACAATAAACAATTCTGCGCTGAAAAAAACTTTTATCAGAACTTGTTTACTAAGGAGATATCAGTGCAAATAAGAAGTTAAGACTAAATATGAGATGTCATGTGTGAAGAATATCAAGGTAAATATCTAGAATACTTTGTTGTGCGTTATTTCCGGTCAAGCTGCAATTTTGTCAAATTATGCTAAAAGAGGTGAACATAGCCAATTATTCAGTTGTATTTATGGTACAAAACATGCTGTGGAATTTGCTAAATGTATTTATTTATTCATGTTAAAAGACAAAATAAATTTTTTGATTCTTTTACTTGTTTTTATTATTTTGTTTAAAATGTCATTTCCACTACAGTCTTAAATATTATATTCCACATAGTTTGAGGTGTAAATGACTGCACTCTTAAAAATATAGGTTCTTTATTAGAATTGATGGTTGGCATTTATTGGCATCAAGTACTTTTTACATCCATAAAAACTTTCCATTGCACACAAGATTCCTTATAGTGGAAAGGGTTCTTTAGTTTATTAAAATGTTCTTCATCCTAAGAAAAAAAATGGTTCTTTTAAGAACTGATCACTGGAAGGGTCCCAAAAATGGTTCTTCTATGGCATCACAGTGGGAACACCCTTTTGGAACCTTTCATTTTTATTTATTTTTTATTTTATGGTGGAAATGTTCATGTGTTCTTCACAAAAAAAAAAAAAAAAAAAAAATGTCTTATTTTTTTGCACACCTGGACACTGCTAGTGGAAAAATTAAATGAGTTATGGTTTTAGAAGATTTTATTTAGGGCCAATAGATGAGGAAACACATACACAGTACTACTGACGCAATTAGTGAAGGCTGAAAAGGAGCTTTTGTGCCACTGCTACTGAAATAAACTGATTACTGGATTGGACAAAATCCTCCCAAGTATTATGCAGAGCTTTGTATGTGTGTGTGTGTTTTTTTTAAGTCTCTTTGTTCATTTTGTGAACATTGCTGTTCATTAACTGGGTGCAGTTATGAACAGCCAGACTGAAGCGACGTAGGTTTGCATCTACAGTCCAGTGGAGAACAGAGCAATCATTTTGGTTCCTCTTCCAGGTCCAGCTCATCCAGCGGCACGGCCAGATCAACAGAGAGCGTGGGAATCCGCCAGCCGGCGAAGAACAAGATCCGGCGTCACCAGCACCATCTGTCGGCGGTGTTCGGCCGCGGGCCCAGAGGAGGTTCTGGAGAGATGGCCGCTGCGGGAGAGGAGGCGCTGGTGACAGACGACCCCTCCGAACTGTCCAATCACATCACGGCTCCAGGCATTCTAAAGATTTTTGGCACGGAGATCTGTGAAGGAGCCAACTACAAGAGCGTACTGGCCACAACACGCTCCAGTGCCAGAGAGCTGGTTAAAGAGGCACTCGCCAGGTGGGGCCAGAGAATAATGCCACTGATTTTACTACTGTATTTAGCATTATCTTTAACCTGTTAATTGTCACCCCCTTTTTGAGCTTAGACATGAAAATGCGCTATCCGAACTTAAATTGTTGTAATTCATGAATGCTTTGGAATAACAGACCTAAGGTTATAGATTTATAAGTTAGCTTAGACGCAAATGCACTGCACTAAACATTTTATGTTTTGTGCACAAAAATATATTTTACAAAATAGTATGGACGCTACAATTGCTAGAAATTCAAAGCCATATATCAAACCAAGTTGTATTCCAAATTTGAAGTTGATATCACAAAAAAATGAGGTTCCTGTACATTTTGTTCACTGAATTTTTTGAAGTGTTGTCCTGTCACAACCTACAGTCTATGGTCACAACATTTCCAGCTAACAAGGAACTTTTCCACAACTTTCACTAACTTTTTTAAAAATGTTATATGAATCTCCTTAAAGCCATGTTTTTGGAACATTCTTATAACTTTATGCACTCATAATGTTTAGAGAACGCATTCTGAGATCAACATTCTCCGAACATCCTCGTGATGTTATTTTTACTTGATGAACATTCTAAGAAATGTTTTTTGTAATGTTTAAATAATTTAATAACCACAGCAATAAAACTGGTTATTTTAATATTCGTAGAATATTGTTACAAATAATGTTACATTTTGTGGGTTAAAAATAAAGTTAGTGGAATGATTTAAGAAACATTTTAGTAACTTTTTTCTACAAACGTTATGATCACCACAAGAAAACTGCCTGCTAAGAGGAATTAAAGTACAGTTTTCATGGTAATGCATTATCTAATTTCAAAAAGGTTTTCATCACAGTATTTAAACTTTCAAAGGATACCTAATTTATGATGATTACTAAAATATGTAATAGGGAAAAGGCACCAAGTGTCCTAACACCAACAGTTAATAAAAGGGTTTCCGGGTAAAAGCTAAAAGACTTACATAGCAGTAAATGTGGTTCAAATATATTCAGGGTTGTGTGAAATAATATTTAAATTTGGCTTATAATATTTTGACAATATTTTAAAATCATAATGCGGTTGCTATCTGAACAAAAAGTCCAGATGATTTTCTTAAGGGTTTGAATTTCAGTAAATGCACAAAACGGCCTTTGTGCACATTGGTTAAAGTCCATTGTAACGGCATGAGAAGTTTTCATACCAAACGTCTCGGTTGGTTTGGAGAAGTTTGAAATTCAAGGCTAAATGAATTCCTTGGTGAAGCCACTTTGGATCGAATGCTGCGTCAGCACTCAGATACTGAAACTCTCCATTCTTTCACAATTCTACAGCTAGAGTGTGTGCCTGAAAGTTTGTAATGTTTTACTGTAGCTTTAATTGTTTAACTGTTTTCAACATTGATAATAATCAGAAATGTTTCTTGAGCAGCAAATCAGCATATTAGAATGTTTTCTGAAAGATCATGTGACACTGAAGACTGGAGTAATGATGCTGAAAATACAGCTGCGGATCACAGAAATAAATTACAGTTTACAATATATTCACATAGAAAACAGCTATTTGAAATTGTGATAATATTTCACAATTTTGACTATATTTGATTAAATAAATGCAGCTTTGGTGAGCAGAATAGTAGAGTTTTTTTAATAACATTTAAAACTTTTGTACAGCAGTGTGAATGTATATCCTATTATTTCATTCATATCAGTTATTCTGCTGTTTGTATTTGTTTCAGATACTCCCTGAGCAAAGAAGACGCTGATGACTATGTGTTATGTGATGTGATCGGCTGTGTTGGAAACCAGTGCTGGAGGACCGAATGTGTTCGTGTGGTGGGAGACCATGAGAAGCCGCTGCTGCTGCAATCGCTCTGGAAACCCAGAGAAGGATTCGCTCGACGCTTTGAGATCCAGCGCAAAGCCACTGTAGAAGAAAACAACTCTAAAGACCAGGACACTGTGACCGCTGGTATACCTCGACACGATTCCTCCTGCATAATCACATTTGCATTAAAGATGCTTTTTACTGTCACGACTGAAACCAACCATTTTGACTGGTTTACTTTTTCCATCTTACTGTAGGCACTTTTCGTTCCTGCCTACAGACAATTCTGTGCTTTTAGCAAGACAAGAAACCAGATATTTACTACCACTGAGATAATGGTTCAATTTTGATATGCAGAAAGCCCTACCATTTTTATTTTATTTTAATTAGCTCTTGCCAAACTGACAATAAAGTTAAGTTAAAGTAAAGCGGTTAAAGTTCAATTTGTCGAAAGTTAAGTTAAAGTTGTATTAAACCGTTTGCAAGGTAGCACTGTATTTATATTCCTCCGAAGTTCTGGTTATGGTTGTTTTAAAGCCCAGACAATTAACACAAGTATTAATCTTCTGAAATTAAATTGGCAATTTTGCTCATTTTGGTTTCTTGAACCTGAAAACCTGCTATTGAATTTTATTGAATGTTCAGCATTTAAAATTTAACCCACAATTTTGATTTGGTGTATTCTATATTTGCATACTGAATTGCAATTTGCTGTCTTTCTTACAACTATTTGCATATAAACTGTGATTGGTCTTGCATATAAATAAATGATTAGTTCACCCCAAAATGAAAATTTGCTGAAAATTTACACACCCTCAGGAGAGTTTCTGATTTGGAGAAATGTAGCATTGCGTTACTTGCTCAGCAATGGATGCTCTGCAGTGAATGGGTGCCGTCAGAATGAGAGTCCAATCAGCTGATAAAAACATCACAATAATCCACACTAACTTTTTTATCTAAAATACGAGTCCCTAATCCATAATAACACTTCCTCGAGTGAAAATGTCCATCTCCTGTTGTCTCTCACATCAAAATCCAGCCACATATTTGTTTAGAGCTGTTTTGGCTCATAAACGC